GCCAAATACAAAATGTAGACCCCCAAAGCCCGTCCCAATGCCCCACCTCCCCAGCCACAGCCTCCCTGCCTTCAGCCACCCTCCAGTTAATCCCATGGGGATCGACTCACTGACCGGGTGAAGGTGCCYCTAACTCAGTCACCTCTCCTCTGAACTTTCTTTCACTGTTTCACACATGAGCTTTGGGGACCTCCAAACCCTAACCAGGCTGAATGCAGTTTGTCATTGTGAAGTGGTGAGGTCCTTGTTGGTGGTCACTTACTTGCTTGATGTCACTCAGCCCTGTAAGGCACTATTCTTCTTATGTCCATTTCCTGCTCTGAGTGGGAAATCCAGGYGGTCCTCGGGTCACCTGAGCTTGGAGCGTGGGGTGGACCTGCTCCTGAGGTGCTGACCTGGGTGTCAGCATCCCTCTCCCAGGCTCCAGTCTGCTGTCCAGATGAGGTGTGGCCTGCTGAWGAAGACTCAGACGGCTGTGTTCTGTTTGCCTGCAGCTGTCCCTCGCACCAGTGACACCCAGTGCAGCTCTGTCCCCGAGCCCAGATATGGGAGAAGAATCGGCTCTGAGTTCTCCGCAGGCTCCATTGTTCGATTTGAGTGTAACCCGGGTTACCTGCTGCAGGGCTCCACGGCCATCCGCTGCCAGTCTGTGCCCAACGCACTCGCTCAGTGGAATGACACGGTGCCCAGCTGTGTAGGTGAGTGTCCTCCACGGTGGGGTGACAGGTGCGGGCTGTGCCCACAGTCCCCAGTGCAGAGAGCTGCTGCCCAGGGTCACCGTCTGGCCCACACAGAGTGGCCGTCTCCTAACCTGCATGATGGGCAGGCTGTGTTTGAGGACTGCCTGAGCAGTAGCCACCCCTGAAGAGCTGCTGTCCTAAGCCGCATCAGAGCACAAGGCCCGAGCACACTTCCTCTCTCCACTCTGTTAAGAGCGCCATCGACTCTGACGCCGTGGCCAAACCACATAATTTCATTTTGGGGTAAAAGCATGATGAGGTTGATTTGCTGTATTACTTGGGTAATGCTCTTTAATACATTTGTGCTGATGAATGTTTGAAAAGCAAGAGGTTAATGCAGCCTGAATGGCAATGGCATTGTTAGTTAGGTTTTATTTGCTTCATTTTGTGTAGAAAACTCTAGTGTAATCATAATTAGCACTTGAATTCATTTGCATTTTAAGCATCTCTTCTTCTCCTTGGACTTGCTCATAAATCCCGGTAGCATCATCTGGAGCCGCAGGACTGTGTGGGAAGAGAGCGCTCTGCAGTGGTCTTTAAATTAAGTAGATGAATTATTCCAAATAGAATTCGCTTCAGAGATGCCGTTGGTAGGTGCAGCACCTTCTTAGAAACCTGAAGAGGTGTTTAGAGGTTCCAGGTCTGTAAGTTAGTAGCACAACAGGTGATCACCAGAGGTATGGCTGATTTAAAAGGGACTCAACTCTACCTTGGCTACAAATGCCATTTAGAGTACCACAGTCCATGGGAAGTTCCTGTCACTATCTGACCACACAGAAAAGAAAACCAAAGCCAAATTAATGGCCTCGCTGCATTTTACATTTATTCTATGTGGCTCTGTCTCTCAGTTCCCTGCAGTGGCAATTTCACTCAACGGAGAGGGACGATTCTGTCCCCCGGCTACCCTGAGCCCTATGGCAACAACCTGAACTGTGTGTGGAAGATCAGCGTGACGGAGGGGTCCGGAATCCAGGTGTGTGCCCCATCACAGAGCCACCGTGGACTCAGCCAGCAACCCTGGCCTTTTCTTCTTTTGCTCCTGTTTCC